GGTCCGCACATGCTCAGGAGGCTGAAGGCTGACGTCTTCAAGCACATGCCCTCCAAGACCGAGCTCATCGTCAGAGTGGAGCTCAGCCAGCTGCAGAAGTGAGTCGGGTGGTTGGTGCAGCAGCAGCTGTAGAAGAGAGGTGGAGGAGGGTGGACGTGAGGCTGAATGTTTGTGGTCTGTTTGCAGGAAATATTACAAATTCATCCTGACGAAAAACTTTGAGGCTTTGAACACCAAAGGAGGAGGAAACCAGGTTTCACTGCTCAACGTCGTCATGGACCTCAAGAAATGCTGCAACCACCCCTACCTCTTCCCCGGGGCCGCTATGGTACGACCCAAACACCAGGGAGAGACCATTTATTTAGGAAGGAGGCTGTGGACTCCTACTGTTCTACCTTTGGACGAACCTTTTATGCAATTTATGAAACCTTAACATTTGATTGGTCCCAACAGGAAGCTCCAAAGATGCCCAACGGGATGTATGATGGAAATGCTCTCATCAAGTCTTCAGGGAAACTGATGTTACTGCAAAAGATGATGAGGAAGCTGAAGGAGGGAGGACACAGAGTGCTAGTTTTCTCTCAGGTACAACAACAAATCTGATACTAAAGCAAAATCAACTTGAAAGTCTTTTTATCTTAAACTAACCTTTCTATTTTATTCCTGTAGATGACTAAAATGTTGGACTTGCTAGAAGACTTCCTGGAGAACGAAGGCTACAAGTACGAGAGGATTGACGGAGGAATCACAGGAGGGATGAGACAGGAGGCCATCGACAGATTCAATGGTGAGTTGATCCTTATCTCACCTGCTCTCTTCTCTTCCTTCACCTTTCATATCTTTTCCACTCCTGTGTATCAACGCTGGATTCATCACACCTGGAAAAAAACTGGAATAACGAATGAAAGCTTTGCAGTTTTTTTTGGAACGCTGTCCAGGGGGTCGAATTGGGTCCTTTTATAGGGGGCAGAATGTAAACATCACTAAATCTGACTCTTGAAGCAACTTTATTCTCTTTCCTACTTCCTCCTTCAGCTCCTGGTGCTCAGCAGTTTGCCTTCCTGCTGTCGACGAGAGCCGGAGGGTTGGGAATCAATCTGGCTACTGCCGACACCGTCATCATCTACGACTCGGACTGGAATCCGCACAATGACATCCAGGTACAGTCGGACATTAGTCATCGCTCGCACATTCACCCGAACCGCTTATTCACACGTGTATTTTTGCTTTCAGGCCTTCAGCAGAGCTCATCGTATCGGTCAGAACAAGAAGGTGATGATCTACCGATTCGTCACCAAGGCCTCAGTGGAGGAGAGGATTACTCAGGTGAATAAAAGCCGAGTCCCACAGAGTTGAAATCGTGGCTGGTCCCTCTCTCCTTACCTGCTCCGCTCTCTCCAGGTTGCCAAGAAGAAGATGATGCTGACTCACCTGGTGGTCCGGCCTGGCCTCGGATCCAAGACGGGCTCCATGTCCAAGCAGGAGCTGGATGACATCCTCAAGTTTGGAACAGAAGAGCTGTTCAAGGATGAGGGAGAAGGTGAGGGTGGAGGGAAGCTTGGGAGAAGACGACAGAGAGGGGGGAGAAATTATGTGAACTGAAGTCTGTGCGTCTGCAGGTGAGAACAAAGAGGAGGACAGCAGCATCATTCACTACGATGACAAAGCCATAGAGCGACTACTGGACAGGAACCAGGACGCCACCGACGACACGGAGCTGCAGAGCATGAATGAATACCTGAGCTCCTTCAAAGTGGCTCAGTATGTGGTGAAGGATGAGGAGGAGGAGGTGAGCGCCTGAGCCCATCAGGAGTGACCTTCATACACCCAGCCCCCCTTTTGTCCTTTTAACCACCTTCTTCCTTCTCGTCGCTCAGGAGGAGGAGGTGCAGCGGGAGATCATTAAGCAGGAGGAGAGCGTGGATCCAGACTACTGGGAGAAGCTGCTGCGTCACCATTACGAGCAGCAGCAGGAGGATCTGGCCCGAAACCTGGGCAAAGGCAAACGTATCCGCAA